TTAGATCTGTCAAAACAACCTTAAGTCTTAATCCCTGCTTAGCTTATCCGAATTTTTCAAAAGTATAAGGTTACGGTACCGGTATACTATTTCCTTGGAGGAAACCTCTCTCTATCGAGGAGAGGTACGGTATATGTAGTACACTACTCGAGTAGTGGACAATAAAAGGAATTGTTGGGATTCGTGAAAACAATGTCATCGATGACACTTCAAGATCCTCATACCTAGGTAACCTTACCTTTGCTGATAATGATAACCCAGTACAGTACAGAATACAAACGGAAGAGAAAGTCGTCATTACCTACCTACCTACCTACCTAGGTATTACGAACACAACCATATTCCAATGTCAAACCGAAATTAATTATACGAAAACCTTGAAGTAAATAGGTAGACTAGCATACGGCATACAGTGGCACATGACCATACATTATATCGTAAGCAAATGAACACCTTTAAACTGTGTCTAAATCGATGTTCTCACTAGAGAAGTATTCGATCAAGTGTGGTTCGTCCATTCAATTTTTGTATCTCATGGTGCGGAACGAAATTCAATGTACCGGTACGGTTTCAAGAAATACTTCAACAGCGGTATATAGACCGTTACCTTCCAAGACAGATCCATTCTTTTCCTAAAATCTTTCATGAGTTCACTGTAGTGATGTAGTGATGCAGTTTTGTTTGGAATTTTAATCGGGTACCCTACCATCGATGGAAACTCGGTATGTTCTTCTCGTGGATACGTACCATGCATGATGTTTTCCAATCAATTATATGAATTTCGTTTGCTCCGAATGGCTGTTTCAACACTGATTGTTGATCTCAAATATCATCCCGCATAGAAAACCCGGTCGATGAACGATGAATATCACCCAAAAACTTGTTGCTGGCTTCCTTTGACAACTCATCATCATCATCATCATCATTTAACGCGTTTGTAACCTTCACAAACAACATAGTCTGACTCGTCCTAGAATGGCTATTCTATGGCATGATCGGGCTCTAGAACCCCATTTGTGATTCTGGGAGGTCTTTTGGTGGCCATAGCCGACATCGCGCTGGATAATATACCTAACTGTCTGTATATTTGCTCCATATTCAGCACCCATGGCGAGGTAGAGCATGGCCACATAGAAATCGTACCCCTTCATCAATGCTCGCAAGATAAGTTTTGCCTTCTTCAATGACGTTATGGTACGGTAATAGTATGGTATGGTATTGCAGATATGGTATTGCAGGTTGAGACACAGCATACCATGATGATGATCAATGAAAGTGATGGGTAATTATGGTGTAATTATGTATATTCAACACGTGATGATAAGGTTGCCGTAATAAATCCGAGTTTGTCAGAGTCAGATGTTCTCCTTCAAGCTGAGGCACATTAGATGAAACTGCCTCAGGCTATACCGGTACTATTATATTATATACGAGTTCACAAGAATAAGAATGTTCTCCTCAAGGAATTGCTCCTTAATTATTATATTACAAGCTATACTGGTCATCTATATCTATATCAGACTTCAAAGAAGACGGTTCATCCCAACCATGAATAGATTGCACCTTGGTGAAAAAGCTAACCTCTGTTTCGTTCCGACTGTTTCAAGCCCCATCATCGTGTTTGAATATGTACTATCTATCTATGGACATCTGCCAGGCTATATTGATAATCTGGGATATGATTTCAAGCGATAATTCGATACGAAGATATGTATTCATTCCTACTGCAGTTCCTGGATTGATCTAAATGACAAAAGAAGAAATATAAATCTCCCCAATCAACTCCTAAATTGTTTATCACCACAGTCTTTACCTCAAACCATCTCAAAGTGTTTCCCCCACACGCACCGTTTTGATTATATTAATGTTTCCTTGATCTTCATATAAAAAGTGGATCATCAAGTAGACATGGGTCATGATCTATGCAAATGCATGAACGTTACCTGTCGTCGTCAAGTTTCAATTCATGATGAACTGCTATTGATTTTTAAAGTGCTTAAGGATTGATATGAAACGATGGCCGAAAAACCTTAAACGTTAAGGAATAGGTGAAACTAAAACGGTTATATTATCGGGACAATCCGTGGGGCTCTGGCATCAACCTGACACACACATGGTAGCTCCGAGTTCTTGACAACCTGCGAAGTAACAGCTGTCCAATTTGCATTGACTTTGATACACACATGGCTATATATCCATGCCTCAAGTGACAAGTGTCATGAAAGACGTACCGATATTAGATATACAAAGCCAAGACGACACAAGCCCACAAGAATCGGACCGCAAGATGGACCGTCACCTGTATTGAAGCTCAATTTGGAGAATTAAACGTGCAACAAAAGCATGTTCAGATGAAGTCCTCTAGCAGCCAGTGGTCTAGAGCTTCAAAATCAAGACTCATATATTCTAAACGTCCCAACCAGGAACTCTGACACAAAGTGTGGGGTTGGTAGTGTGGGCCTTGAAGCCCTTTCTGTTCGTTCAGTAAACACATTCTATACCCCAGAACATCAGACTGTTCGTCTCTGTTCGTCTCTGTTCGTCTCACATTAAGTCAAGATATGCACAAAACTAAGTACACTCACAGTATGGGTCAGCTGCATAGTCTGCTAAAGTTATTCCGTGGTGGAGTTTCGTTTCATGTGAAAGACAAGGTGGACAAGTTATCCAATATATCAAAGTTTCAACTATATTCAGAGCATTTAGAAGATGTGCAACAAAACCTTTGAAAGTCTGATATTTTGTGAAAGAGTTATGAGTGATTAAGTTCATCAATTCATCATGTTTATGACTTCAGTGGGGGAAGTAGGCATTTGAAATGTGTAAGTGATGGATCAGTCGCCCTGTTCACCTGTATATTTTATACCTTCTTCACAGACTCGAGCAAGATACTTGTGATAGAGCTAGGAAAGAGACCGCCGCTTCACTATCATCTTTTGTCAATTCTAGGGCAAGAATACTGAGCTCAGACACCGGAGAATAAAAGTCGATGCGCAACAAAGTTTTGCCTTGCAGAAGTACACGCGTATTTCACCCAGGTTATGTCACTATATGAACCTGTCAAACTTCGGAGAATAAACTTCGATATGCAACAAAACATTTTGCTTTGGAAACCCCAAGCTTTTAGATCCAGAGTCATTGTCAGGGTCTGATCCGATCCCATCACCGGCTGGTTAGCATGAAACTTGATATGGCTATGTTGCAGGTCCATATTTATCTTCCGAAGCTGTGCATGATGATCGATATGATCTCCGTCTAGTATTCAAGAACCGGGGATCTTTGTGAAGCAAGTGAAGCTACATATCGTTTTGCATAAAATATATAGTGCGACATGCAACAGAACCTCAATGTATATACAACTGACATGGAACAAGGGATATGTTTACAAGAATATATATTACAGACAAGCAACAAAACTCTGTATACGAAGCAGCATGGTGGGTAACGGGTCCCAATCCATCGGGGGATTATTCTAGACATGCAACCAAACATCATAGTGGAGACCATACTAGAAAGAAAATGGCTCCATCCATATCATCAACTCAGAAATATAGATTGCCGATATGCAACAAAGCCCAGGAGAGGATCCATCTTGATTTGGTATTCTATTGCAATATAGTGCCGACATGCAACAAAACGTCCATGAATCCACCATAGTGATGTCTAGTGACCGGTTCAATGACATCAAAAATCATTCAAGACATGCAACAAGCCCCCTCTCCCACTGTCTTCACCATTCTGCCACTCTATATCGAAACACCCGAGAGGGTAAGGTGAGGACCGGATATTAAGAAAATGCCCCCATAACATCAATCAGCAATATATATTACAGATATGCAACAAGCCCCCTCTTCTACTGTCTTCACTGTCTTGCCCCTCTATCTCGAAACACCTGAAAAGACAGGGGGGGTACAATGGATAGTAAATGAAATACCCCAATAACATCTAGTCAGCAATATATATTACAGACATCAGAGAGCTCCTATGCCTAAAGCAAAAAATATGCAACAAAAATCTCCCTCCTTCAAAACTCAACGATTCCCCGTCCAATGATAGATCTTACCAGCCTGGAGAAGAATAAACCTCGATATGCAACAAAACCTGCTCTTCCAGCCTCTAATCAAACTATATCAAGGACTTTGTTCGAGAAGGGAAATAATTTCATAGTACTCGAGTATTCCATAGAAGAATACATCACCGACATGCAACAAAACCTTCCTCTATAGCCTCAAACCAAAGAAATAAAACAATGCGAAACAACATCAATGGAAACTTTGTCCAAGAAAGGCAATACGTCTATAGTATGCTGATGCTAGAATATATTACAATATATTAGCTGCATATAGCAAACTATGCCTCTATCAACAAATCAGGAGATATCCATATATTACCGATATGCAACAAAACTCTCCCTTATGCTCCAAGAAGTTCGATAAGTTGACTCATGAAAAGTGCAGGAAGAAATTCTCGAACTCTATTCCTTGTGTTGATCCTGTGTGGGGAAAAGCGGGGTATTTGCAATATAGTTATAATATAATATAATATAATATAATCCACCCCCTCAATATATAAGATACGGTAAGCTTCCTCTAGTAGCAAATCTGGATATGATTCTCTCTATAGCCAAACAAAGCAAAGAAAAATAAATTAAAATAATAAGCTGCCAACCAATTTTGATTAAAACATACCACCGATGTGCAACAAAAGTAAGAAAAAGGTAATATTAGTAACAGGAATAATTAACTTGCCTCTTTTATTAATTTTGTAACAAGATGGATGTGAAAAGTCCCTCCGGTAAAGCAGATGAACACAGGGGGGCAGAAGTTTAGCTTTGTTTTAGATATATATGCAATAATTGATACTATTCATTGACTGCATCACAATGAAATGCGAGCGGCTGGGAAGAATCGTCGTCTCACATCATTCATCGCATGTAATCTTACATATACTTCATCCCAATATCATGATCATATAAAGCCCCGATCAATCCTTCATTCACCTCACCAAGCACTGCTTCCATCTCCCCATACACTACAATCCATACTTTCCTCTCCATTTCCCATACCCATCTCCTCCAATCCAATCTCCATCCCATCCAATTCTCTCGTGAAGAAGTCATGTTCTTCTTGCAATAACTTTGTGTCAGCACCCATTCTTTCAGGATACCTCCTCAGATTAAACCAATGTGTCAACGCTCTCAACGCCTGTTCTAGTGGTAATGCTTCTTCAACTTCAGCATCTATACCACTACCTGCCAGCCAATCATCTCTTAATTCAGGTCTACAGTGTAGGTACACCGCTGTGATAACTCTCATATTTCCCTGCCTCCATTTTCGACCACAGTACGGTACTTGGTTTTTAAACAATTTGAGAGTATAAAGACGAAGTTCGGGTTGGGGGATTTTAAAAGACTTCTTGAGGATGTTGGATGATTTATATTGAACGAGAAGTAAATTCCGATGAGCTTTGTTCTTACAAATCTTTTGCATGATGCGAAGGAAGTTGATAGAGGAGAAAAAATTGCGCCAGGAAAATTCAGTGATGGGTTCTAAATTGGCCTCAGCGGTCTGAAAGCCAAGTTCATCAATCTCTGTATCTCGACGAGCTGCATGTTGACCTTCTTGGAAAGCTAGTGCTGGAAGTTGACCGTCGGCATTACTTGTGGTATGGTCCCGCTGTAGTTTGATTGGAGGTGGAGCGGCGTCATCTTCACTATCTTCTTCAGTGGTGACCAAGGCATGTTTGCTGTTGCCGTTGCAAAATGCGAAGAAGCTGAAAGTTATTATTAGCCCAAGAATCTATTCACCAAAAAGATACCAACCTCAAGTCTTCACGATCTATTCTGCTGTCCACGATTCTATCTATCTCTTGATGGGCGAACATTTTAAGAATCAAAGGAAGATAATTGGAATCTAGTAGGAGTTGAGTGAAGTATTCGAATTTGAGAATATCTACCAAGTTAGCATATGGAATGGCACGTAAATGAATATAAAGACCTACGAGAAACTTTCAGCCATTTTAGGACAATAAGAAGAATGCCAGATACTGCTTTTGAGGTAATTTCTCTGAATCTCATTGCCTCAATTTCCTCTACCGTGAGGTCTGCGAGATCAGTCGAATTTGGTAGAGGTATACTGGCGGGATCTTGTCCTTGAACTGGTCTGGCGCCGTTGGTTCGTGCACTGATAGGAATGCTACTCTGTGGTTGAGCATTCGTTGGCTGATTCATCAAATTCGTAATATTCGCCAACAAAGCCTTGATAAGCACTATAACAAGGGATTGTAGATGTGGAATAGAATATTGCTATCGAAATATGAGATTTGGAGATAAAATCGTGGGATCGCGGAATCAGGAAACTCACGTAAAAAGACTCTACCAAGTCCAACTTCCTTTTCACCTCATCACTGATATCTAGTCGTGGTCCGTAATCAACTTCTACTTTTGGTGATTTTGGCTTTCGGGACTTGAGTCCTTCGGCCAAAATGCGGTCGAGATCAAGTTCTTCAATATCCTCATCATCTCTATTATCCCATCCACGTTCAAATTTCAAGAAACGTTCTCGTTCATCCCATAACTGACGCATTGCTCTAGTCATTCGCATTCTACCCGCAAACAGTTCACCGGCTTCCAATATCGACTTAGGAATATCACTTCCTTCCCATTTTCGACCCACTAGTATATCCTGCAATCCTGCAGTACCTCTGCCCCCAGCACTGTTACTAGTACTATCAAGAGGTGGATACATAAATGGAAAGTTTTGATTTGTTTGGTAGTTCTGCTTCTTACCTGCTTTACCTCCAACTGGTGGTGACGGAGGTGGTGACGGAGCAGGTGTAGCGATGTGAACTGGCTGATGAAGAATCGAAGCTCCGCTACTATTGACGTTTCCTGAGGGGTTTAATATACCAGTTGTACTGGCTCGACTTGGTCGATTTGGTAATGGTGGTAGTATGGAATTATTATCGGGCTCTAGGGGTATTAAAGGTTCTGGGGGGATATATGCAGGATACTTTGAAGTGATTTCTTGACGAAATATATGGTAATCAAGAGGTGAGGCTGTGATTATCTTCTCACCTCCGCTATTGGCCAGTTCATCGGTTGCTTTTTTGACTTTGTCGATTTCCTTAGTACCTCCAAATACGAGTAATATCGATTTCCAGAAGAGAAGAAAAATCTGTAAATATGGAAATAAGCTAAGAGGCCTTTTGATGTTCGGAATACTGACTCGTGTCTGGGGTAATTCGTTGGCCTCATCCCACCGTAATTTTCCAGTAATCGTCAACAGATAATTGACAATAATTGGATCCAATTCCACTATGACCTCAAATATTAGCAGCCGACGGGCACCCTGCGAAGAAATATACCTACGAAGTTTCTTCCTGGCAATGTCCAATGTTTCCGTATGACAACGAACACCTTCTATTGTCAAATAAAAGATAGTCATAACGTTATCGAGCTCATCCTGTACAAAAGGAATATCATCTTCCGTTATTTTTGTTTCTCGGAACTCATCATCCCTTTGATATAGTCAGCCTAATCTTAAGGTCATGATATGTCCACCCTCACCATAAATGTTTGAAGGCGGTTTGCATGACTTCATAAACCATTTCGATACCACCACTCTCTGCAAGAATTGATATGCTCATCTTCATACTTTCGACTTGAGAAGGCGTTGCTTTCGTTCTTTCCTTTGTTCCACTCGATTGAATCGTCTCCAATTCCTTCTTCTTTCCGGCTTTCTCATCCCAAACACCCAGTATAACATGTAATAAAGTTTGTAAACTCTTGCATCTCCTTCGCAGATCGCTAGCATGCAGGCCCTGAACTTCCCTCTTGACGAACTTCAGTTGTTCCCCTCTATCAGCTTCGACCCAAGATTTTTCGGAAAGCTTCCTCCATCTTCTTTGAAAGGTATTCTTTGCTCTGTGTAATCTTTTGAACTCTGCCTCATTATACGAAAACCACTCATCCACTTCTTCTTCGTACGTTGCTGTATCGCTATAAACAAAAGTATATGACGTAGGATCGATTTTCGGGAATTCGGTAACGAGCTTTTTCAGTTGCATTAAGGAGAGCGAATCGTTCGGGGTGCCAACCATCTGCTGTGGTGAAGGTGGTGGTGGGGGTTGATGTGGTGGGGGAGGCTGAGATTGGTTTCTCCCAAGCTCAGGCCGTGCCATAGAAACACTATCAGACGTTTGAGATACTGGAGCAGATGCAGGCAGAGCTATATCTGCAAGACCAGTATCTGCAAGACCGGTATCTGCCACATCCCTTGGAGGAGCATCTGGAACGGCGGGTTTTGTCCAAAGAGACATGGTGGTGGATTTCGGACGTTGAAGAAAGAAAGGTGGTTGTAATTAGGTTAGGTCAATCGTTCAATCGTAACATCATTAGTCAATATATCTTTGAACTTCCACCTAGATAGACATTAGGAAATGGGGATGTACAAAGTCGTGAATTGTATCGCATTTTTGATAATACCCCCCATACAGACATAACCAGACTCATATTGGGGTTCGCGCTTGACGCGATAGGAAGCTAAGAGCTATCTCGCTTATGATAAGGATTTAGTAAAGCAAGGGGTGCCGATAAAGAATTGTTCCTGGCCTTTTCTCAATGCAATTGAAATCCATAACGTGG